TACAACTTTTTGTGCTCTATTAAAAAATAATAATAAAAACATTCTCATGAGCAATCTCCATCTAGATAATTTGGAGCAAAGTTGTCTGAAAATATTGCGGCTCAAAAAAAGTTTAAAGTTTGGCTTTTTGTATCTCTGGAAGGAAACAACACAAGGTTTTCAAATATAAAATTTCATTCTCCTACTGCTTTCCAATAGTTTACAATAGTTTACAAATTGAGTATAAAGTTGACTTTTTTGTAAAAACACCAAAGATAGGGTATTTTCAGTCTGCTTTTACAAAAAAAGACCTTCTGGAAACTCTGTTAAATCATTCTCATTAGAAACAGCATGTTTCAAACCCCCTAAAAAAATAGGGTTGGTTTTTCATCACTGATGTATAAAGCCCTAAATATAGGGACAAAGTTGAGAAACCCACCCGTGGCTGGTGTTGCACAGTTATTGGGGGTGCCCCCTATGGTGATGGGGTTACTGGTTCAAGTGCCTGAACTGGTAGTGACAATGTCACTATGGACCAACACAATATAATAGTAGTAATGATGTCTATATAAAACAAACAAGACAAAAAAATGTTAGAATACATGTGACGTTGCCATAGCAATGTCCTCAACTTTGTCCCTATTTATAGGGCTTTATATGTCAGCGATGAAAAACCAACCCTATTTTTTTAGGGGGTCTGAAACATGCTTTCTAATGAGAATGATTTAACAGAGTTTCCAGAAGGTCTTTTTTTTGGTAAAAGCAGGCTGAAAATACCCAATTTTTGGTGTTTTTACAAAAAATTCAACTGTATACTCAAATTCAACTGTATATTCCAAATTATCTAGATGGAGATTGCTCATGAGAATGTTTTTATTATTTTGTTTAATAGAGCACAAAAAGTTGTACAAGATGGCCAAGTTTTGTTTCTCTCAACAAAATATTGCCAGAGATATTATATCTCAAAGTTGCTAGAATCTCAGAGTCATACTGTAGAAGGCTGCAGTATGGGGTCAAACAAATGACTATATCTCCGCAAGTATTGCATTGGCAAACATAACACTTTACCAATGTTCACTGGGGACATGTGTGCATGTTCACACAAAATTTCATCAAAATGTGTGATGGTTGAGCAGGGACCCCCAGACCACTTGACATGGAATGACCCCTGAGTAATCATGTTTCAGTGTACCCATAAATTAAATTATCTCCTCTTTGTTCATCCCATGGACATAGCCTTTAGAACAGCAATCCTTTAGAAACAAGAATAAATAAAAATAACAAAAAATATTTAAAGAGTTACTTCCAAATGTCATCACAAGTAGCAATCTAGGATTGTGTTTCTAATGCTTCACTATCCATGGGAGTTGCAAGTGTAAGAGTAGACACTAGAATATGGCAAGTTCTGTTACACTACTGGTTGAAGCTGACACTTCCCTATAAGTTTAGCTCCACTGATAATAGAAGAGAGATTTCAAAGTGGATGCAAACAAGCACTTTGCAACAAGCTCTCTCACTAGGATTTCCCCCCACTTAATGTTTTTGGATTATAAACAAAAAGAGTAACACTTAAGCAATGTCTATTTGACACAGACTGACACTTGGATGCTGGTAATACAACTTGGGTTTTTACAGCAGATAGCAGAAGATACACCAGCTCTGTATCTTACACCACTTAACGTATCTCTGGCACCAGCTATATACATTCCAAGCAATTAACAATAGAATAGACTGCCTTCAGAAGCTGTGGGTGCTCCATCACTGGAGGCTTTCAAAAAGAGATTAGACAACCATTTGTCTGAAATAGTATATGGTCTCCTGCTTGAGCAGTGAGTTGGACTAGAAGATTTCCAAGGTCTCTTCCAACTCTATTATTCCATGTTCTATGTTCAAAATTGGCAGATAATATTGGATATTACAATTATGTGACTATGGCTTACTATGTGGCTTACATATTTAAAAAAAATATCCAAAAATTAGACTCAAAACCCCTATATAGCCTATGTTAATCCACTTGTCTCTAAAGATCAAAACAAAAAACATTGCAATGTTTTTTGAAAATAAAGTTGTTGGGTTTTAAGGTAGTTCTCACTTAATGATGATAACTGGGAACAGCAACTCTATTGCTAAGTGGCATGTCATAAAATATAATATCACACACTGACTTACAGTGGCCATGTTGGGTGAATCCTACACAGTCTCAACATCCTATGGTCATGTGATCACCATTTGTAACCTGCCAGCTTTCCCATTGACTTTGCTTTTCAGAAGCTGGCAGTAAAGGTTGTAAATGACAATCAGTGACAGTGGGATTCCCGTGAATGTTGTAATTAAAAACAGGTTTCCAAATCCCAAATTGCAGTCATGTCACTGCAGAGAAGATTCAACAAGTACAATTATAAGGAATGGTCATTAGTTGCCCGTCATTCAGCATCATTGTAACTTTGAACAGCTGCTCAACAAGTGGTTGTTCAACAAGGACTTTTTTTTAACTGCATCAATCAGAATTGGACAAAATACTCTAGATCATATGGAAGAGTTCCAGCAATATTATGAAAGATATGTGAGGTTAGTACTCAAAGGAGAGCAATAATTTTTGTATCTTTGGATTGGAAATTACTTTTAAACCCATTCCTTCTCAGAGGCTGAATAGAACTAGTGTAAGATTTACAGTGATATGAAGTTGAAGACAACTCAGGGTGGAGAAGTGGAATCTACAAAAGAAAAAACTAGTTGTGGTGGAAGGGAAAAGAAAGTTAATTAATATGTCATGCAGCTTCTCTTAGGGAAATGAATGCATTCACCAACCAAAGTGATAAAAGTTTGCCAGAATTCACAGCAATAGCTATGCTGCCTGGGGATCTCTGGAATTTAACTGTTGGATTCTTATGCCAGAATAAGAACAGTTTGAGTTTCATTCCTTTACACTGGGACACAAATTATATACCTTTTTTCAAGGAATGACAGGTAATGCAGAATAGTAATTAAAGAAATCCCCAGTTCAAAATTTGACTCTAGTGAACTCATTAAATGGACCCAAGCAAGTCATTGTATTTTAGCCTTAGACTTCCCATCTGTAACAGAAACATAGTAATATTTGGTTACATTATAGATATAGGATTTTCCTAGATAAATATTTTACATTAAGTGCTTTGAACATGTTAAATTATTAAATGTTTGCAAGTCTTATCAAAATGGTCTTAGGGCAACTCAAAACAGACAGCTTGGATGTTAACATATACAGTACTAAATTAGTGTTTGGCATTACAATCAAACATGTTGTCAAGTTGATCTTTTACTTTCTTCTTATACTGAGACCAAACTAACAGAGCAGAAGCTTTCACATACATTGTGTAGCTAACTGCAAATTAGTAGCATGCACAAATTTTGAAAAACTGAGTGAGTTTAAGTATGGTTTATTAAAGCATCCAACTTCAAACCATAGATTATGAAGCCTGACTCAATAATCCATAATAATTCAATTTGAGTAGCATGCCAAATTATGATTAAATAGAAAATGGAACTGAACCCTTCTAATTTAATTGTACAGCCTCCAAGCTACAAAAAAACTAGAAGCAAGTATAGACAACCTAGAATTACTCAACTGCAGAGTATATATCAGGTAATATTTCATTTTCAAACAACCCCTTGGTCTATAAATTGCACATATTTTATGAGTTAGAATTTGTAAAGCTTTGCTATGATCAGAGAATTGAGGATGTAGTTGACAGTGACTGAAATATCAATCATTGTTAAATACAAAGTTATTGCTGAATAAACAAAAGCTTTTGATTTCCTAATCAACTTCTTCTAGAATTCATTCAGAAATATCACACTATAGAATCTGATTCTATTAATCACCATGGAAACTATTGTGATGTCACAGAAATTAAATTAGGGCATCACTGGATGAATCTAAAAAAAAATATTGAATACAAAGGATCAAAGCTTCAGTTTGAACAATGCCTTGGTAATTTTGAATGGGAAAAGACTTGTAAAAGAAACCTTGAATTTTAAAACCAATTTTGAGAAAAATGAGAGAGAAAAAAATCCATCAGTGCAATAAGTTATCTTCATACTCATTTTATCAGGATCTGGTGCAGGGTACATCCAGTTTACAGGATCTTTCTAAAAATCCTACTATGCATTTTTATCAAATAAAATATAAGAAGCTGGTTGAATAATACTAGTTTACCACTGCTATATTTGAAAGAATGCAAAAAAAGAAATAGAAAGAAATCACTATCTAAAATATTTTCCAACTATAAGGCATTAAAATTATTCTTGTTCTTTTCTTCCTGTAACCATGGTACCTTAATTTCACTATGTGCAAGAACAGCTGCTTAAAAGCAAAGATTCCAAATTTATACAAGATTTCCATATAATGCAACATGAAATCTACCACCATTTCCACTTCGATAAAATTAACTTTAAAGAAGCACAATCCTCGTGTCAGATTAGTGTTAAGTGGACTTTAACAATGTGGTATGCTCGAACAACCAAGTTATTTCCACTAATTATTTGTTTACATGGAAATCTGACTCTGCTATATATTGAAATATAAGTCCACACTGCTGCAATATGCCCCCCCCCAAAAGAAGTCATCCAGCAGAACTGTATATATTACAATATATGATCAAATTCCCATTAATGTCATGGAAGAAGTCAGATATATAATGCTTATTTCCACCTAAAAGATTGGCAGCATACAAATCCAAATATTTAACTGCATATATGTGCTCATAAAATGTGTCTGATTGGTAGGACTGTCATGCATATATCAATATTATATTGTAGCCGTCTTTTTTTATTTACGAAACATCTCCTAAGTTACTTAAATGCTTGTTAAATGCTTATATTTTTATTATATTTTTACTGGTAGGAATTCTTTTCATATAATCATATACAATTACAATAATTCATATACTGTAATAAACAGATTACCCCAACAAAGTATTCCATTTCATTATTGTTGGAAATTCAGATTTTTAACTTAACTTCTTTTCTGTATTCCTTCATACCTAATCCTATGAGAGGATGATGCTCCACTAGGGCCCAGCTGTTGTCATCCACACAATGACTTTTGTAAACGAGCAACTGGCAGAGATCCCGAACTGTCGTATCTGCTAAGATCTCAACTACCTTGCAAGTCCCATCTTCACTAAAAACCTTTATATCCTGCAATAGAAAAAATGATACACTTTATTGACAGCAGCATTATATTCCAAAAAACATAAGAAAAAATACTGTACATAATTGATATTGGGCACATTTTGGGATATTATAATGAACCTCTATACCCTAGTACAGTGGTGGCGAACCTATGGCACGGGTGCCAGAGGCGGCACTCAGAGCCCTCTCTGTGGGCATGCGCACTGTCGCCCCAGTCCTAGACCTTCAGCTGGGTTTTATAAAACCTTTTTGCTTTAGGCCTCCGCCGTTGTGTACAAAAAAAAAAGGTTCAATCAATCAGTCAATTTAACTTCTTGCGGGGAAAAAAAAGATCTTGCAAAGTTGGAATTGATTGATTGAACTTTTTAGTCCTACCCAGTCTGCTGTTACCACCATAGCCACGCCCACCCAATGGGCCACATCCACCCAATGGGCCACACCTACCCGGCACCCGACGATGCATAAGTGGGTTTTGGGTTGCAGTTTGGGCACTCGGTCTCTAAAAGGTTCGCCATCACTGCCTTAGTACAATAAAATGCTGCCTCTTAGGCACCGTTCAGAGTAAGTCTATTTGAACAATTTATCTGATTTTGGGATCATAGGAAGGAAAGCTATAAAGAACACATATTACACCTTACATACAATATATCTTTGCATCTTTTCTAGAAAACCAACAAGCTAGGAGTCTCAGAAAAATGAGTTCTTACAACTATGTTAATATGAATATTAAGTATAATACTAGAGATTCAAACAATTGGCAGAGTTGGGGAGGGGGCAAGATTAATCACATATTCTCCACTTCATGATTTTTTGCCTGGAGCATTTTAACACTCAAAAACATAAAATAAAAAATCATCAATTAAAACACAACTATTTTATTAGTATTAAGTCTAATTTGGAACTGAAATTATTTAAAACAGTTACAAGCACCAGTTACACTTCTTCCATGTTCGTATCACAAAATCCCATCCTATCTTGCAACTAAATATACTAATAATTGACAAGAATAAAAATAATTAAGATGAGATTGTAGTCTGCTGGGAACCTATGAATCTTCATTAAATGGGTCATTCCCATTACCAATTAATATTGTTTTAATCAGTAATAATAAATAGTGTTAACCCTGCAAAAAGTATCCCATTCACAAATTTAACTTTACATTAAGATTTAATACAGATTTAACCCTGTATTAATTTCATATTCTGATTTGGGGAAGGAGAGATGAAAAGAAAACATTTTACCTCACCAGTATGCACAAAGCAGCAGTCAGGAGAACAAGATGGCATTCTAAAATATAGATTTCTTGTTCAGAAAGATTGTTTTCTACTTCTTCCAGCCCTTTGAAATTCCAAGCTCAAGCAACTCAGGTTATTTCAATGGTTATTTCAGTGTCAGCAAGCCTGGTGGTGTGTGCATCATTTTCTGGAGGAAGCAAAACTTCCCTCAAAGGATTACACACAATCTTTTAAACAGTGAATCAAACCACACTGTACAGACCAATCCTAGCCCTTTTTGTGACTGATGTAATAATTTCCACAGAACTCGCAAACATCCAAATTATGACCCCAGGAAGAATTTTTGTCCTTTATGACCACCCACGTGCATTTTAAAAAAAGAATAGCACACAGTCCAGAAATCATTTGCCAGGATCACCAAATTTTAAAAGAGCCAAAGTCTGTACCCAAACCGGACTGGCTCCTTGAACTGCTGGTTTGTTTGCCAAATCCCTCTCCAGCTGATGTCATTTGTTTGCAAGTTAAGCCCCTGAACTTCTCCAAAACTTTTAATGCTACTACTTACACACACACACACACACACAAAACAGGCAAGATCATTCCCTCCCTCTCTGCTTCTCTGAAGCTTAATAATGGCTTTCAAAGAGAGCTGAGGAGCTCTCATAAATTCAAAAGCTTTACCTGTCCTTTCCATTTGAACTCTTGTGTAATGCAGTATATTTAAGTAAGGGAGCCCATGGTGCCATATTAATGTAATGCCAATTCTCCACTCACTTTTGAATTAGCAGCACAGAGTAGCATGGAAAGGCATGATTAGGGAGGAGTTAAAATTTAAATGTGAAGGAAAAAAAACATGACTCAAAACCGGTGCATTCAGGAAATAGCATCTTCTTACAAGCAGGATGAATCAGCTCTTTCAGAAGGGGGCAGGGGAATCCCTATTAATGCAACTCCAAAAAGTAATCTAAAATTCCTACATATCTCAAAACAAAATAAAACAAACCCACCCTAGCCTAGAAATAAAGACAGACCTCAAAGTTTTGTGAATACATTTTTAGCCTCTTTTTTAAACCAGGATCTACAGGGAGAATATTTCATAGTCAACTGGTTACAACCCAAGTAAGAAAGGTTCAACTACTTCAATGAAATACATGCATTGTGTGTAGTCATTGCTGTGGGCAGCTAAAGAACAAATGTGTTTCCTGAAAAATCTGTTCATTAGCAGCAGCAGCAAACATCAGTAGCCTCCTTTTAGTCCCCTTCCTTCCCTTATGTGAATTCATTTCAGAAGGGTGACCAGATAAACTTAATACAGGGGGAAGAACCCAATATTTTATAGAACTTTAAAGTAAACAACAGATTATGTCATACATCTAGATATAATCTAATAAAATCAACTGCTGGTCAAATTTTCCTTTATAAATTACATATGAATAAAGTTTTTTACCACAGGGAATCAGAGAGATGAAAAAGAGATTCCCAAAATACAAAACATGTTATACCTACTGTTTCCTAATCCTTATGTTACTGCAAGCCGCTTGCAAATATTATCTATCACATTTACTAGGCTGAGAAAGTGGCTATCTAGTGAGGTCACAGCTGAGAAAAGTTTTAATTCAGGATTTCACAGTATACTCATTCTTTCACTAAATCTCAAGGGAATTATGTGGACTTTTGTAGAGGACTTTAGCTACTATTGCTTCGGAGCTAAAATATTGTTGGAATCCTGCTATCTTTATGAGAATTGTAGCAGCTAATATAGACGTACAATAAGTAGTACAAGAAATTTCCTTAACTGGACTGCAGGTTGTGCTTCATCTGTTACACAGGAAGTAGGCAGTACATAAAGCAGTATACTTAGATTTTAGTAAGTCATTTGACAAAGTAGACCATAATCTACTTCTTGGTAAGCTAGAAAGAGGTGGAATAGACAACTAGTGTGCAGCAGCAGCCAAAAAAGCGAATACAATCTTGGGTTGTATAAACAGAGGCACAGAATCAAGATCATGCGAAGTATAAGTACTGTTTTATAAAACCCTAATAAGATCACACCTGGAATACTGCAACCAATTTTAGTCACCATACTACAAAAAAGATGTTGAGACTTTGGGAAAAAATTCAGAGAATAGCAATTAAGATGATCAAAGGCCTGGAGACTAAAACATATGAAGAACAGCTGCAGGAATTGGGTATAAGGATCTGCCTCAACTAGATCTCCCAAGGAAGCAGAACTCTTGAAACAGGCATTGTTTCAAAAGGAGCTTTTATTGAGAGTTAGTGATAGCAGGAAAGCAAAGCAAGATCTGAGGATTTTGCATGTGAACGGTTACATCAATATGCCCATACAGATCTCTTCCTCCCAATGTCCAATCGTCCATTTGAAATCCAGCCAATCCATAGGAAGTAGTTGTTTTGAAAACCTAGTGATTTAGCGCCCTTCTCAATATCTCTCAGTTTCATTTCCCAATGGTCCTAGGCTCCGTTGTCTGGAGATAAGACAGATATTTTCAGACTATATTCCTTTCACACAGAGGAAGGGCAAAGCAGAGCAAGGCAGATCCATCTGTATGACAACTATTTAGATATTTGAATACTGTTAAAAGAACTCTCTTTAACTGTATTGCTGTAGGCTAAACATATTCAGATCTTGTAACCATTTTTCATAGGGTTTGGTTTCAGTTCCTTCTTCTTGATAATTCCCTAAATTTGTGCCAATTTAGCAACTGTTTTGAACCATGATTCCCCAAAGAGACATGAGCCTATGTAGAGCTTTTTGTTTTTTAAAAAAATTATTTCAGCTAAAGAAACACATTCCAGTTTTGTGTCATCTTAAAAGCAACTCTTGAATTACGTTATCCAATTTCTGAATCATTGTTGAACAACACTAGACCCAGGGCATAATGTGGTACTCCACTCAGCACTTCTCTCAAAACTGAACTGGAGCTATTAATAACTGGGAGGCTAGCAAATGAATGGAAAAGCCTGAAGAATATCTTTGGCTACAGCAGACCTCCTTTCCTTACTGAAGAGAATTGGCAACTAAGCAGATGAACCTGAATGTGTTCTACTGTAGGTCTGAGAGGAGATTACCATCAACTATTGCTACCCTCCCAATTTCAGATACATCAGTGATAGCCAAATCTGCTATACCTATCTCCATCGCTTCAAGCCCCTCATGTCTGGTGATCTTAGAAAAAGATGTGTGATGTCTATTTCATAAACAAGAGATCAGAAAAGCACCAGGCCCAGAAGGAGTAACTTCTTGCTTGAAAACCTATGCTGATCAACTGGCCACCATCTTCACCTGCATCTTTAAATCACTGAAGATGTGTTATGTTACTTTTTGATTCAAATGCGTTATCATCCCAGTTCCCAAGAAACCCTCCATCAATGAACTGAATGACTACAGACCGTCTGTAGTTATGAAGACTTTTGAAAAGTTAGTCCTGACCCACCTGAAAATCATCACTGATCTGCTGCTAGACCCCTTGCAATTTGTCTACTGCACAAATAGATCAGCAAATGATGTTTTCAATATGGCATCGTACTACATATTGCAACATCTTGAATCCCCAGGACCTATGCAAGGATCCTTTTTGTTAGACTTCAGCTTGGCATTCAAACATCATTCCAGAAATTCTTCACTGTAAACTGATCCAGTTAGATGTGCCTGTCCATACTTGTAGGTGGATTGTAAGCTTTTTGATGGGAGGCAACAGGTGAAGCTAGGAAAAATCACATTGAATATATGAACAATTAGCACAGGTGCTC